AGTGGGCACATGGAAAGAGGTCAGCCCCCGATAGATGGGCAAGGGATCCCTCAGATCGTGCCGACAGACGACCCGGGGGGGGGGGGAGGAGAGGGAGGCTCATACCCCCAAAGAACCATGGCCTCCCCCATATCCCAGGTCGCATGAAGGGGGCAGGGAGAGGAGCCTAGACCCCCCTCACCCCAGATGGACAAGGACCCCTCAAGACCATGGTGCACACAGAGAGGATCAGGGAGTGGGGCTCAGATACCTCTGAGAGCAGGAACCCTAGATCTCAGCTCACATAGGGCAGGGAGAGAGAGCAGCTCAGACTTTCCCCCCCCCAATCCTGACGCGCACAGAGAGAATGGAAGAATGTGGGGCTGACAGGCTTCCCAACCCCTCTCATGTCCCCTACCACCTAGCCCCATTTATCCCCCTCACCCTGATGCAGCCACAAATCCTTCTCACCTATATTACCTCCACTACTCCACCCCAGCCTTTATCCTGCCAGCAAGCATTCACATATATATTTTATTAAAATATTTAGATTATATTTATTTATAAAATAAAAACAAAACCCTAACAGAGACAGAATTTAGCAATAGGACACCAAATCAATCAAACATTCATGCCCAATGTGTGACTAGAACAGACATTGCCTGGGGTGGGTCAGGTTCAAAGGACTATTGTATATTTCCTCGAACATCCAGCTCGTGTGCAATTTTGAAGGCCAACAATTCTGTTAATTCTTCTGTCCACACATGCTCAGTGTAATCCAGTAGGCATGCAAAGACGTTTCTCAACATTTGAATTTGATTTCCCCCAATGGGCTGGTCAATGCCATGCACTCTGTTGGAGGTAAATCTGAGTATGTAAAACTATGATGCAATGATTGGAGCCCTGGGTTGATCTCTATCTGTGAGCAAAAACAGGCTGCTAGAATCCATCAACTTTTAGAAAAGCTGTTTTTTGCAGGAGCTACATTTTGGGAACTCGTTGGTCAGAACCCTGCACCACCACGAGGTACACCAAATTTCAAGGCTATCTGAGTAACTGTGTAGATTTTAGAGCACTTAGAAAATCATTGAGGAAAGACTTCTGATATTCCCCAATCTAAAATGACTTATTTCAAAAAAGCATGTAAGATTATTAAAGCTGCTAAACATCACACCCTAAATGAAACAACAACAAAAATAGTTATAAATACCCTCCATAACAAATGGAGGACAGATTTTATTTTTCACCAAAAGCATTGCCCAGCAGAAGTTCATGTGAACTTTAGCATAAGTCAGTCAAGAACCTGAGGTGGAATTAATTTTTGTAGATATGTCTTATTATAACATCCTTAATACAAATGTCACAAAATAAGATTTGACTGTAAATAACATATTTATGTTTTCTTTTGTGGTAGGAAACTATACTAATATGAACACCTATTACTCCCAAATAAAATATTTAGGTTTGCTAAATAAGGTAATCATCTAACAGTTGCAATTTTTCTGAAAACCTTCTAGAATTCATAAGAGCTACAGAAAACATGAAGCAAGAGGTAAGTCCACTATGTCCTTTAAGTTACTCAGTTTCCCAAATTTACAAATGTACCAAAGCAAAAGCAATCTGAAAGCTATTTGCCTCCTTAAATCTTTAGCCTACTAAGACAAAACAAAAATGAAAATTTACCAAAAATGAAAATTCAGTTCCATGTGAGCTAGGATCTGGGGGGG